AGTATCATTCGACTCATCTCGAGGAGCTAAGTCGGATGGGGTATCTAATTTTTCAATAAAAAGAGAATAGATTCTGCAAAGGGAAACATAAAGAAGGGAGGGTTTTTCAATAGTGTTGGTCCCTGCCCCGTCCCCGAAAGTCAGGGCCAACCCTATTTCTCAACCACCAAACTGACTTGTAATAAATGAGTGTTTAGTTAAATTAATTTAATAAATATTTTTCAAAGTGTTTTGTCAAAATTAAAAATAAATGGAGTGAAATTGATAGTGAATGTTGTTTCAATAATTGCATAAATACTAAAAACCCCGTTAATAAATGTATTAAGGGTAATGGATATGGAAATTTAATTAATGATGAAAATATAAAATACAAGTTAAAGAATAGTGAAGGTATATATTGCAGAGATGGGCCGGGTTGAGGAAAATGTTGGGTTGGTGTTCTGATCGGATTTTCAAAATTATCTTCGGAAAGGGTTACGCGGGTAATAGTTTGTCGGACAATCCCACCTTTTTTCTTGTTTCTCTGACCATTTTGAGCTTTTTTGATATATAATTTATTGTTTATCATTCGAAAGAGCTCTTCAAGCTGAGTCAAATAATACCAAAATCGGTTAGATTTGATGATTTTTAACAAATCCTCATTGGAAAAGCGTTTTGTTCCGATGCCATGGATTAAAACAACTTGTCATAACTTTGCTCAGAACTTACTACCAACCGACTCAGCTTGAAGTGCTCATTCGAATGAAATATAATTTGCCATAAAATGTGAAAAAAAATTGAAAGAAATAGAAAGGAAAGAGGAGATGGGCAGCCAAACTATTACCGTTTCGGGTGAGGAAAAAGACCGGATTTCGAGTAACTCGGCCCATCCCTTGTATATATTGCTGAAAATTTTTTTAATTTTTTATAATATTTTTTAGGCTGTAATAGAGTGTTTGTAGTCTATGCAGAAAATTCATTCAACAAACCACGAAATAATTTTAATTATATTTTATATTATTTTGAAGTTAGATGTAAATTTGAAGGAGAATTAGAAAATAAAGATGGAAGACGATTGGTTATTGGTCTCAAAAATTTAATTAAAAATAGAGATATTTTTTATTGTGGAAATGAATTTACAATTTTTATTGAGGATTTAGCACCAGTTGAACTTGAAACATGCTTCAATGATAACGATGTTTTTGGTTGTGGATTAGTCTATCCTCCATTTAATAAGTTAAATGAATTTCCTTATATTTTCTTTACACAAAATGGAAAACAAATTGGTAATAAATATATTTACTTAAAAACTTCCCCCAAAACTCCCCCCCCCCCTCGCTAGTTCGAGTATCAGCTTGGGTTGGTTCCCGTCCCCGAAAGTCGGGGAATTTAAGAGACGTTAATGCACCTTAACTAATGCTTGAGGAAAATAAATGATGGGTATAATGAAAGAAAGAATAAGGGCAAGGGGGCGACGGCATATCCAAAAAGCACTAAAATATTTTTATAAAAAATGTTTTTAAGGTAAAGCTATATTATTAAAAAACAAATTTTACTCATTTCAACCTAATGTTGACTTGGAATGTTGTTCTATCGAAACTAATTTTGGAAATGATTTGAAGACTAAACCATTTAAATATGACATCTTGAAACTTTAGTTATTAAAGAATTTTATTGAAAAATAATTTGTTTTATTTTTTGACTAATTTTTAAATTTTAAATGGAATATTTTCTCTGTACTCAACAAAATAAAAGCTTTTAATTTATTAAGATTTTGTTTAGCCTTGTCTACACAAAAAATTTTATAACCAAAAACTCAGCAATTTCCTTGTTTATCTGGCTTTCTTCTTCATTCACCTACTAGTCTCATAACATTTAAAAACTTTTTTTTACCTTTATCTTCCCGAAAATAAAAAAATATCACATTTATTATATATGCCCTAAATCCTCTAATATAATACCACTCTATTTTAAAAATCGAGGCTATACAGTGAAAAAATTCATTGGATGAAGAAATAGAACCCTCGTACAAAGGACCCCCGTTCCTGAAATCAAACGATTGGTTACAATTCATTCTTATACATATAGTGCCGAAATAGATTTTAAAAAGCGAAAGGCAAAAATGCGAAAGACAATTTAAAAAGCGAAAAATGAAAGGCGAAGGTCCAAAAAAGGCGAAATTTTGGCTAAAGGCGAAAAGGCACACCCGTGATTGGTAGGTTATTTTCACTACAAACAGAAGTTTGGTACTCTAATAGAGGATTTACAAAAGAGACAGGGTTCAACAATGTTAGATAAAGCAATTTTCTCAACTATAATTTTGTAAATTACCGTATTTACTTGATTAATCGGAATTTAAATGAATTAAATAATCCCTCAATAATAACCTCTCCAAGGACAGATTAAATTAATAATGGGTCAAGGGCATTATTTCAGAAATGAGGTAGTGGGTTAACCCTTAACCTCCCCTAAAACCGTCTCCCGTTTACAGAATACGAGGCGGCAAACTAGGCAATCGAGTAAATACGGTAATCTAATCTTCAATCCTTTCAACAATTTTCGTCCTCAACTATAGGCAGATCCTCTTCAATTTCCACCATCTCCATTTCTTCCTCTTCTACCATTTCTGCCTCCGCCTCCATTGCGACGTTGACGTCCACGTCCGCGTTGACCATTTCCTCCGTTACCATCTCCATCACGTTGGCGACGTCTTCCAGCCGCTTGTTGGCTACCTTCGCCACTGCTTCCAGCAGCGGCTTGTTGGCTACCTTCGCCGCTACTTCCAGCAGCGGCTTGTTGGTTACCTTCACCGCCGGCTGGTTCAGGTGGAGGGTATTGGATGTAAAGCTAAGAAATATTTATTAATTCAAAATTTCTTTTTAACTTAAAATACCCCTCGAATCTGTGGCGGAATTGCTACCCCTTCACGGATTACGATTGTTGTAAATAAATGATCATTATAAACCAAAGCATCATTATCTAATTGATATCTTATTTGAGCAATCAATTGTGGATTTATATAATGTTGATGAAGTTTTCCTTGAATCGGTACTTGTCCCACGACATATTCAGAATTTACGAGTTGATATAAATTGTATGGGTATCACGACTTTTGCGCCGAGAACATTTGCGCCGCGACTTATGCGCCGCGACTTTTGCGCCGAGCGACTTTTGCGCCGCGACTCTTGCGCCGCGACTTTTGCGCCGGGCGACTTATGCGCCGCGACATTTGCGCCGCCATTGTTTAAAAAATCCGTATCCGAAAAATGCCGGATATCCGAAACTTTCAATTCGGATATCGGATCCGGATATCCGAAGATTTCAAACTATCCGACAACCCTACTAAAGTGAGAACCGGCTGTAGTTATTGATATATTTTTAATGATAGTGGCGGCGCAAAAGTCGCCCGGCGCAAAAGTCGCGGCGCAAAGGTTCCCCGGCGCAAAAGTCACTCGGCGCACAAGTCGCGGCGCAAAAGTCGCGGCGCATAAGTCGCGGCGCAAATGTTCTCGGCGCAAAAGTCACGGAACCATTGTATGTATTATCTTCTATGCCCTCCCCTTGAATACGAAAGGGTTCAAACTGCGCAAATTCTTCCGTTGTTATTTCAGGTGAACTTGTGGGTTCTTAAATCAAATGATAGTTTTTAATAGGTTGTAAATAGGTGGTAAATACCATATTTCCTCTAAAATAGCCCCTTCTGGAGGTTGGTCAAAAAATATCCCCTGGGGGCTATTTTAGAGAAATACGGTAGGTTGTAACTTATTTTGAATGTTTTTGTCCCCCATTTAGTTTTTCGATGAAAAATAATTTAAAATTTGCCTTTTTTTACCCCATATTTTTTACCCTTTTTTACTCCATTCTTTAACCTATTTCTAGATTCTTGTCACCTATTTTGGCATTTTATACAGCCTATTTAGGTACTTAGGTAACTATTTGAAGGTTTTTATAACCTAAAAATTCTATTTAGTCATAGCTTCTTCCCCTTTTTCATTTCTTAATGAAAAATGGATGTTAGATGGAAAATAAGAACCCTTTAAGTGCCAAGTCTAAACAATATTTATTTACTTATGAATTGATAAATAAGCGGGTAGATTTCCTGAACATTTGGCTCGAAAACACAAAAAACAGGATAGCCAAGTTCCAGATCCTTCTCATCATTTCGAAGATCTTTGATTAGAATAATAGATTGCTGACTATCATCACCATATCTAGCAAACCAATCGAAAGCATGAAACTGAATAAGCAACTTATCATGTAAACTGTTTGCACTCAGTTCATAATCATCAAAAAGCAATATGTACGAAAAAAGCGCTATTTGTGATCTAAAATTTAATTAGAATATCAGGGAGGAGCTCTTCCGTATTTTAAAAAGCGGGTGATGGAAGGCGAAATTGGAAGAGCAAAAAAGATGGAAATCGGCGAAGACAATCCCTTCCCTAGTACATATAATAACGGCCCTTATTATAAGATGCTCTTTGGCTTATAATGAAGTATGGTGTGTTCTCAATGTTTCAGTCATCGGTTTCTTAACACACCATATCCTGCTAACAATAAGCTATAACAAACTTACTCCGAATTAAACATGGAAAAGTATCTCCCGTCTATACTATAATAAATAAATGTCAATATCAATCTTCGGGCCAAGAGAAACATTTTGTATAAAAGAAATAAATTTCTCTCTTGATATAAAATATTAGTCAAATATTCTTGAAGTTGTGTGAATTCTTTGCTTTTGCTAAAGAATAAAATTTAGAAAAATTATTAAAGGATACTCGAGGTCTAATAGAATGGCCCTTTGGAGGATGATTGAAAAATAAAATGGCCGGCCGTTCTATTAGAGAGAATACGGTAAGCCCTCATTTTTGGGCTCGACTGCCACCTCTATCCCTTATTATTCCTGCTTATTGCCACCCTCGCTATTATTGTATTTACTCTCCGACAAAGATTTTATTCTCTTCTTTTTTTATTCTGTTAATCACTAGGTTAGGTTTCCTCTAGTTGGTGAGCCAATTTAAATTTTACCGAATATTTCTTAATGAAGCAGGAACGGGATTGTTAATAAAATCATGTTGAGCACCAAACTCGTCTATATTTAAATCATAATTTTGAATAAATTGAGTATATTCCTCTCCATTAACAAGTTGTTTATAAGCTCCAAGTCTTTTATTAATAAAAGTTAGTTTTCTTGCCATCGCTCTTCTTCGTTCTTCAGCAGTTCCACTTCGTTTTCTATATTTTTGGTTGAATCCTTCGTGATAATCTCCAAGAATTTTGCCAAAATGATCAGTCACCTTTAAATGTTTAAATAATAAGGAAACCTCTCTATAGGAGAGCCCAATAATTAATACACCTCAATTCAAGTCATACGTTTTTAAATTTTGGTTGGCCATTATGCTACGCTTACATAAAAAACGCGCGCGTCTTGCGGCAGAAAAGATAATGGGAAATGAGGAGAGAAAAAGACGCTGGCGTCTTGCCGCTTTTTTTGAGTGCTTACATAAACTGCGTCTTCCGCCGGCGTCTGACGCCGGGGTCTTGCGTTTTTTATGTAAGCGTAGCATTAGATGGGGAAACCGTCTTTGATTTTTTTCTCAATAATTAGAGAAGAATGCTTAGCAGGGAAGGATGTTGCCAACCGATTTTTACAAAGCGTAAGATGGAAGAGACTATTATATTTTCTATTATATTTTCTGTCGCAGAACGTAAGCGTTTTAAATAATGAAACTTTTATTATGTCAGCGAATATTTTGTAAAATTTGCCGGTGTATTTTTAACAAAAGGAGCCAAAAAGTGGAGGACAAGAGGAGGAGAATAAATGAAATAGAAGAGCGGGATGGCCAAAAAAGGAGGAATTCTGTGGGCGATATCCCCAATATTCAGCGATAAAGTCCGCGAAACTCCTTCCATCTTCCCTTCCTTACCGCTCTTATTTTTCGCTGAAATCCGTTAATGAATCCATGATCTACTTGAAGGTTATCTTCGCTTATTACTTCAACTCCTTTCGCATTGAGTATATTTTCAATAGGTTTGTAATCATCTTCAATCTTCCTCTTGTAGTCTTCGTTAATATTAATTTTATTCAAAATTTTCATCAGAAAGGACAACTCGGAAAGAGAAAACATTTTCAGATTTTCATTGGCTTCTCCACCTTGACCAGTTTGCATATTTACTAAATTTTTAAAAATTATTTTTGAAAAATATCCTAGCCTTCATATTAATTTTATATTTATTTACCAAGAGCATTTCGCATTCCGTTAACAAAAAACGGAGCAAATCCAGCAAAGATGAAGACAATAAATGTCTTCGAAAGTGGATCCAAAAACATTTTAGCAGAGAGTTTTGTTCGGATTTTTTGAATAGGACTTTTTTTAATTTTTTTAAATGGGCTATCTTCCCAGTTTAATTTGAATAGAGGGGAGATGATTTTTTAAAAATTAAATTTAAAAAAAAAATTACTTTTGGGGAAATGAATAAATCCCCTCGCTTTAATGGAAAATAAAATAGGCGGAGAATTGCCACATATGTAAATCTAATTAGCAAAAGAAAAGCTAATAGAGGGAAAAAAATTTTTTAAAGAAAATCTTTCTTTGAATTTTGGCTATATACACCTGGATGGTAGTGATGTTCGGGAGAAGAAAAAACTCGTGAAACGGGAGTCGGGTCGGGAAATGACCTCGGGAGCCGAGTCGGGAGGCGAAAAACTCGGGAAATTTCCCGAGTCGGGTGTCGGGAGTCGGGATACCCGAACATCACTACCGGATGGCATTTTATGGACGCGCGCAATCGCTAAGTTTAAATAGCAAAAGAAGCTAGTAGAGGGAAAAAAATTTTTTAAAGAAAAATCTTTCTTTGAGTTTTTTTCCAACTATCTCCCCCGCACTTTTCTTTTCTTTACTTATTTTCTCCTTTAAAATGGTAATGAGGGGCTAATAATGGTCAAGGAAACTGAAAGGGTCAAGGAAACTGAAAGGGTCAAGGAAACCGAAAGGGCTCTACCTTAGAATAAAGGGCTCTACCTTAGCCGCTGAAAATACCGGCTCTGCATGTTAGAACCTACGGTCAGGTTCACCAAATCTTTTTTTGAGATGTTCTACGACCAATGGGTAATTTATGGCAATAACAGGAAACCCAGAAACTTCATTATAAGGGTGTGGGCGAGTCAGCGAAGCCATTAAATATGTCAATTTTTCACAGTCATCTAAATTATTGTTTCTATCAATAGCGACTTCAAAAAGGCTCCAGAAATTGGCCCATTCTGCTACCTTTCCATTAAAGGTGGGGAGACTACAGATCGGGAGTCTGATCGATGAAGATGGGGTATGCGTTGCTGTCATATTGAACGAATTATTTATTGGAGCAGAAATATCAATTAACTTAGCCTCAAGGCAATAAATCCACTTTCCCCTTCTGCATGAGAGTTATAGTCTTTCAACATTTCCTCTCGTTTGTCTGCTGCCTCAAGACTAATAAGTTTTGCCCACTCTGAATTCAATTGCTCCAAAACATCTACTGACTTTGACAGCTTTAGCTGACTTGCTCTGAGATTAATGATGGATTCCGCCGTGAGTTCTGCCGAAAACAAGTCTTTAGCAGTATTTATATATCCTAAGGTCCTTTTTTTAAGTGGACCTAAACGCATTTTAAGAGGACCGGCATATACCTTCGAGGTCATTTTTTATATTTTATTTGATCTCTAACTCTTTATTGTACTCTAATTTCTTAAAATTTTCTTTTCTTTGTCTGTTTGTATTGCTTTTTAAAGGATTTCCTCAATCGATTGTTTGTTTATTTTTCACAGAAGGCAATGGTTGTATATGAAAAATGTTTATTTTGTTTTTAAAATTTTACAATTGAATAAATTTTTGATTTTTTAGAAAAAAATTTTAAAGCAATCAAATTAAAGCGTTTAAAAAAAATTTTTTAATTATTCTTTTTCTTTAATAATATTTCCCAATTTTTCAAATAATTGGCCTGCTGCTCGGAACGTGCTGCCAAGATCTCGGTACACGTCTGCCAAACGTATATTTTTTCGGGTAGCTTCTCCTATGGCCTTCGCTTCGATTATTTGTTTTTCCTCCAATTTCTTTTTGGCCTCTGTCTCGTCGTTTGCCTGAATTTGTTTTTTTGAAAAAATTACTGGTAAGTTTAATATCCTTTGTAAGAAATTTAGATTTACTTTTTGGGGCTGAGCCTTGTTTGGTGGAGTGTTTCTGACAGGGCATCTCACTGGCGTTCGATGATAGACTCTGGTTGGTACCACTGCTGTTTCTTTGCTCAGGGTGTGATCTTCCTTGAAATATTAAGGTTTCGAAAATTTGTCTTTTTAAAAATTCAGAAGTTTTTTTGTGTTGATAATTAACTATTTGTGAGTCTACCTTCTTTTTGTAGTTGTTTGGTTCAACTCTGGTGGTCCGGATTGGAGTAGGAGGCGAACAGGCCCTACGAGGTGTAGCAGGTTGTTTTAATTTGGGAGAGCTCTTTCTGAATAAAAATAATGGACTGATTGCTCTCTTTATTACGAACCTCTTTAATGGAGGTTCTTCGTCTGTTGAGTCTTCTGAGATAGTTGGAAGTATCTCCTTACTGTTATAATTCCTTTTGTTGTTTTTAGCTGGTGGCGTTCCCCCTTCTTTAGTATTAGAATTTCCAATTTCTTCAATTTTTGGCCCTTCTTTTTTAATTTTAACTTCAGCTGGGGAAGTTGTTGCTTTTAATGTTGAACAAGCCAGACAAGTACAATTTGAAGATTCTTTGTGTTGAATTCTAATTGCGTCCAGAATTTGTTGAAGAACGTTCGGATTGATTTGGTCCGACACTGAAAAATGTGAAAATTATTAGAAATTTTCAATTGTTGTTGGCCTCTCCCGGAGCACCACTTTGTTAAGGATAAGATTAGACTTACTTCTTAACAATCAAAGAATTAAAGAAGAATAAATATTAAAAATATTTATTTAAATAAAATTAAATTTACAATAAGTAGTTGAATTAATGAACGATTGGACGTTCGGAAATTGATGATTGAACAAATGAATGTTTGAAGGATGATTTGTTTGGCATTAGGGCTTGGCTTTTATAGTGTTCCTAAGGGGAGGATATTAGTGAAATGCACGTGAATAGAAAAGAGAAGAAGAGAGAATATTACAATAATAGGTTCAAAGAGCGAGAAAAGGGATTTTATGGGAAAAAGATATTGCAAGGATTTCTGTCCTTGACAAGAGGAAAAATAGAAATTTAATAATAAAATGAATTTTAAATACCTAATTAAATAATTTCGTATTTTATACGACACCCTGATGTTCACTTTAATCTTCCCAAATCCCCAGATATCCCTCTTAATCCTTTTTAATATAATTAAATCTACGGGGACTCAATTGAGGTATATACAAGGGGGACTCAATCGTGCGGACTCAATCGTGGGGACTCAATTGTGCCGGGACTCAATCGTGCGGACTCAATTGAGGTGTACCGCAAGAAATAGCAAAAGATAGTAAATTATTTTAACCTTAAAGCTTAGCAATTTCTTTGATTATTTGATAAAAATTGCCGCTTTTTACTTTTATCCTCACATAAAAAAAGAAGAAACAAATTTAAATATCCCAAAATCCTCTATTATAATACCACTCGATTTTACCAAACATATTGCATCCGGATTTCACAAAGACACACCTTTGGAGCTGAAAACTTGTACTTTTAATGAGGGATTTAGATAGGGGATACCGCTTAGCCGGCCCCTTGCTGTCCAAATAATGTTTATCTAAATTTGGTTATCCATGAGTGTATCTTAAAGTAAATTCCTTCCTATTTCCATAGGGAGAGACGGGACTATTCAGACGAGACTATCCCACAATCAGAACCCGAAGTTTGCTTATTTTTAGTATTCCTCCTCCATGTAAATTTCTTTTGTCAGCTAAAGAGTGGTACTTTAATTGAGGATTTACAAAAGAGATAGTGTGTTTTATAAAGGCCATCCTCGCAACAGTAATTTTTTAAAACTAATTTTTCTCAATTCTTTCAAAATTTTCATCCTCATTTATAGGCAAATCCTCTTCAATTTCCTCCATCTCCGTTTCCTCTTCTACCATTTCTGCCTCTGTTTCCATTGCGACGCTGACGTCCACGTCCGCGATGGCTATTTCCTCCGTTGCCATCATCATCACGTTGGCGACGTCTTACGGCTTCTTGTTGGCTACCTTCGCCACTACTTCTAGCGGCTTGTTGGGTACCTTCGCCACTGCTTCCGGCTGCTTGTTGGCTACCTT